TAATTAGATTATTAAATAGCTTAGTATTGTATTAAGTAGTAAATATTTAATAAAATTTTAGTATGTGGTTATCAAAGAGAAAAAAAAAAATTATTTCTAGTTATTAATAAAAAATATGCATATTTTTTTAATTATCATATATAAATTGAACTTGCTAATTATAGTTTATAGTAGACCTCTCATAAAAGAAATTCAAAAACATTTTGAGAAGACTAAAGAAACTGATATGATAATTGAAAGACAGCTTGTCAAAAATGTAAACATTGTGGAGATAGTATCATAAACTTGATTGATCAATTAAAAGATTATTTAATAAAATACAAAAAACTTCCAAAATATATAAAGGATTCATTATACTCTAAAGTACAAAATAATTCTTTTGACTCAAATTTAGATGATTTACTGTGGATTTATTTGATCATGAAAAAGCAGATACAGTATTGTCAAAATTTTTTATTCAGCAGGTATTGCCTTTATGGCAATTAAAAATCCTTTTTGGCATTAGTTTATGAGAATTGTACAACCAACTTATATTAGTTCAAATTGGCAAAATTTGGCTAATAATTTACTAAATAAGAAATTTCAGACTAAACAACAGGATTTAGATAGAATATTAAAAAATGCATCAACTATTACTTTAATTTCAGATAGATAGTCAAATATTCGTCAGGAAGCAGTTATTAATTTTATTTTATACTTTTCTAATACTAAACCTGTGTTTTATGATACCAAATATACAGGTTCTGAGTCCCATACAGCAGAATATATATATAATAAAATCAAATCTGTTATTGAAACTATTGGGCTATCTAAATTTTCTGGTGTTGTTACTGATAATGCAAATATGATGCATGCTGCTTGAAGACGATTGAATCAGGATTATCCAAAGTTAATCTGTTTTAAATATAATACATATATCGGAAATCTATTAGTTAAGGATATTCTCAAACTTGAAAGAATAAATGGATTAATGACTCAAGTGAAACAAATAATTAATTTTTTTCATTCACATCAAAAAGAAGAAACAATTTTATTAAGTTAACAAAATACAATAAGCTTAGTTCAACCAAGCAAAACTCGTTGGAGAACTTGTCTTGCTTCTATTCAATCTATTTGTAGGAATAAATTGGGGCTCCAAATATCAGTTATATAATATGATAAAATAAATGATAGTCTTCGAGAACAGATTTTAAGTAGTAAACTGTGGGAAGATTTGGATACACTAACATCTTTTTTAGAACAATTTGGCAAACTTATATTCTTGTTTGAATCTGATATGCTTTTACTTTCTCATGCATATTATGAATAGCAAAATCTCCATGAATCTATTAATGCATAAAACTTGAATTTAGATTTTAAGTCACACATTATTTCCTTAATTGACAAACGTTTTAAATTTGTTTTTTATCCTGTAATGGCAATTGCAAACCTGTTAGACCCCAAGTAATTTTTATATACTGATATATATTATATACAGCATATAATTTATAATTTTTATAAGGTTTAGAGTCTTGTAGCCTAGTGGTCTAGGTGCCTAACTCTCCACAGATGAGGTCAATGGTTTGATTATAGCTAGTGGTAATTAATTTAATTAATTATCTCTGTAACCTTCAGGAGCTTTCGAATGTGAAACCCTGTAGTGGTAAGACTATTTGATATATATATTTGGCTGATAAAGAATTCTTGGAAGGAGCCCCGAGCCATGAAGAAGATTGGGCACTGCATGTAACATGGGTTACAGAAGGTATTACTGCAGAAGGCTATGCATGTGAATCCATGATTGGCAAGATAGCACTAACAACCCTAAGGCGGCATTGAGATCTTGATTGGGAGAATGGCTGAATACGGCATATCCAGAAGTGGTGAAAGAAGCAGTGAACATAGTAAGGGGCTTTGGTAAGAGGATGGCTTTACCAAATATAGAACATCTCTGGCACAAGAAAACAAGGAAAATTGGCTAAAAGAAACCCCAAAAGTATAGAAGCAGGCGATCTGATAGTATGAAAATAAAGACAGGCTAGGGGTAATAGTTACACAACCTATATGGGAGTCTATGACAAAACACAGCAGAGGCACAGGTCCCAGGTTACTGAATTGTAACAGTAATTAATGAGGTACTTAACTCCCATCTGAAGGATCCAGACCCCTGTATCACTATACTAATAGGGAGTACTATAGAAAGATCAGTAGCCTAATCTGGTGATGTATAACATTAACACTTAAGAACCATGAAATAATATCCTGGTTGCAGTAGCAGGTCCTGTACCTGGCTTGAGATACGAACTAGGCCCTTAGAGTAACATCCTGAGGATACCAAACTAGAAGCATCAAGGGCGCCCACTCAAGAGATACCAATTTGAAAGTGGTACAAGAAACGAATTAAGAGTAATGTGATAAGTACTGAGGGGTAGAAGTTGACTGGTAGACATTGTACAGTAGTATATAAGCAGGATATATATGATAATATAGGTTTGGGAACCATCTGGTGATTTAGTAACTGATCTGGTCAAAAGGGATGGTTACTAAGAAGGTAAAATCTCATATAGCAGGTCGCACATAGGTACTAAGTTAGTAACCAGGTAAGCCTTATCTGTAATAAATTAGATAGTTGTAAATGTATGTATGTATGTTTGTAACCACAATACCTTAGAGTACTAATAAACAGTAAAGGCAAAACTGCTGAATTAAAAAAAAAAAAATTATAATTTTTATATACTAATAATAAATTTTTATATATATTAGTTTTTGCGGCAAGTCTTTAAAGCCTAATGATTTTGAAATAATTATTATTCCATACCTTGAAGAAGTTTACATGCCTGAATTGGCAGCATATGTAGGAATTATCTTTTGGTTATAATAATGCTATATTATAAATATTAATTTAATCTTTTATTTATTAAGATTTATGGAATTATGCAAAAATATATTACCAAATCGGATGAATTTTCAAGAAGAATTCTATGGATGTCCATTGAGCATTCAAATCCTGTTAGTTGGTGAAAATCCAATTTTGCACATAAATTTCCTGTTGTAGTTGAACTTGCTTGTCAAGTTCTCTCAATTCCAACTTCATCAGCTGCAGCTGAGTGTAACTGGTCCAGTTTCGGGTTTATTCACAATAAGAATCAAGCATGTTTAAGTAATGATTGAGTAAAAAAACTCGTAGCTGCTTACCAAAATTTAAGAATTCAAAAGGATATTAGTAATGATAAATGGTTTGAGGAGAATAAGATAAATTTGCAACAGTTCATAAGTATTTGAAACAATCGAAAATTTTTTCATTGAATGTTATATAGTAATAAATAGTAATAAATTTGTTACACTATTTGTACATAGCAACTTAGGTGCAATTTAAATATGTATCGCTTTTTTTACTTAGCGCTTTAAATAAAATGAATCAATCACATTATTGATCATATTAAGTAATTTACCGATTCAATTATTTGGATACATGAATCCTTTTTTTTATCTTTACTTCTAATGTAATCGAAACGAAGACATATAATTTATTAATAAAAAAGTAAAATATTTACAGTTAAACTAATCGGATGCAGTAATCTTCTAACATAGAAGATATATAATTTATTAATAAAAAGTAAAATATTACAGTCAAACTAACTAATCGGATGCAGTAATTCTAGCTGCAGCCATCAGCACTATAATCACCGATGATTTAAAACATTTAATTAAATCAAGTTAAAAATCAAAAAAATCATTAAAAATCGATTTTTTACCATCCCTATATATAGTTAGGATTGTAACCCAGTAATGATCTTATAAACGGATGGCTTAAACAACTGATGTTTTTGAAAGTCGAATTCTAATTGCAGTATTCTTATAAACCTTTCGTATACAATAAGCCAATTCTGTTTTTTAAACATGAAACTGAACAAATAAAAAAGTCTTTCTTTTTAAACTTCCATACGACAGAGTTTCATTGCATGGTTGTGTTGATAATTACTTATTATTTTCTGACATTAATTCACATTAGCACAGTATATGTTTGTCAACCCTACTTTTTCTTCGTATTTAATAAAAAGAATTGCACAAAAAAAAAAAAAAAAGATCGTGGGACTGCCAAATGTATAAAACAGCAATTTAATTATACAATACTTGTTAATTGTAAAAGATAAATTATATTCTAAATGTTTATAATACTGTAAATTAATTTTGATTTTTTACAATCTTTTAATTACGTACTTTTCGATAATTTTTTTTTTTAAAAAATAAAATTCTGTATTGATACACCACATTTTATGCAGCATGATTACTCTTGACTGAATAAAATGTAAATTGCATGGCTCCACCTTTTTTTTTTTTTTTCTAAATCATCGATTGACAAAAGAAAATAATGGAGCTTACAACTTGTCTACGATAATTACAAATAAAAAAAAAATAAAATAAAAAATAAAATAAAATAAAATACAAAAAAATGATGTTAAAGGTATTTTGGTTTGAAATGATGTTAAAGGATTTTGTCTTGAAATGTTCATGTATAGATAGAATCGATTTTCTTTTCATCTTTGATGGTATTTTCTGTTTTTCTTTTTTTTCGAATATGAATGGTTGAATATCCTGTATTTGTTAATTATTATTATTATTATTATTATTATTTATTACAGTATCAATAAAAAAACCCCGTAGACTTATTTCAGAAAAACTTACATATAACGATAGATTTATTATCCAACAAATGTAAAATTGTGTTTCTTTCTGTGTCTGTAAGTTGTTGGTTATTCATTATAGCTTTAGTTGCCATTTCCCAATCTTTTCCGTTTCGACCTTTATCAGCAAAGGACAATGCTTGTCGCACCGCCCTTGCTACTATAACTGTACGGTTTACGTCATCGTCAGATACAGTTTTTACAGAAACATTTGTTTCTTTTGTTGACATTGTTGTTATATCAAAATTATTAAAAAAACGAATAATAAATATCTATAAACTTTGGAGAAGCGATATGGTGAGAAGGAAGCAAAAAAAAAAAAAGGCAAAGCAGACCCTCTTATAATTAAAAGATAATTTTTGATTGCAATGATTTGCATTGGCGGCTATCTTGTAAACCGAGAACGGATGAATCTAGACCTTTTGGATGTCCAAAAATGTAAATTTGTGCATCGACAAACTTGTGCCAATCTATAACAGAGGATACACAAATTAATAGCTTAGTGTCTAGACCAAATTCTTAACTTTATCTGTTATTCATTTGTACGTAGCTGTGCATACAATTCCGTACAGATTTGAATCAGAAAGGGGATTTTATTCATTTGTACCGGTACATAAAATCCCCGTACGTGCAAATTTGAATAAAAAGGGGAATAATTTTACCGGAATATTTGATGGTTAACAATATATGAATAGAATTCTAAATACCCGTTAGATCTTAGTGCAATAAAGTTATTATAATATAAATATATATATATATTAATATACAATAATAATTATATATATTTAGCGCATGTAAATCTGATCAGTGATACTATATATATGGGAGTGAGTCAATAGAAATCAAGCAAATTTTTTATAATAAAAATTTTTCATAACTTTAAACAAGAATAACTTAACAAAAACTTGACAAAATTTAATGAAAAATTTTTTTAAAATAATTTTTACAAACTTGTAGAATTAATTTTATTAAATTTGATTAAGTTTTGTTAAGTTATCCTTGTTTAAAGTTTTAAAAAACTTATTAAAAAATATTTGCTTGATTTCTATTGACTCAACCCCATATATCGATAAAATTAAAAGCTCAAAGTCTAACTCCCTTAGCAGCACTCATTTATTAATAATTAATATCATACATAAAATAAATATGACCGCTATTAAACTTTATGAAAACTCAGTCCGGATTCGACCTGGGCTGTTTCATTTCAGTCCAGACTGGATTCATTAAGACTAAGGATCTGATTTGACACCAGGCCTATGAGAATAGACACAAAAGTGCTTGGGGCTTTGTGTTTGTAGGCGCAAAGTTCTAGGCACTTTTAAAGCACTAATGCTAAGCTACGAAAGCATTAGTGCCAGGATTTATAATAGTACCTTTATTCAAAGTGTCCAACTCGTGATTAGCATTTAACTCTATTAAACATTATATAGTACATTTGCATTCAGAGCTGGAAACCTAAACCCTAAGCTATAGATTTTAAGCTTTAATTTAAAGGATTGAATTTCTAGCTTAAACCTGTAGTTTAAGGTTTAGGTTTCTAACTCTAATTGCTGAATTGCTTCATTCTCAAATTTTCTAAAAAAAAAAAAATTAAATGCTGTACTTAATTGAATTAGATTAGGTAGCACACCCACAAGAATTGTTTTAAATTAAAGTCAATAAAACTGTTATAGTTTCGGTTAGGGTTCGGCCGTACTATTTCGGAATTTTTGAGGGCTGTAAAAGTAGTATTCCACGATTGGTGCTTAAGCCGAAATCAGTATATCGATATGTAGTATAATAAGCCCAGACGGGCTACATTTGTACCTCACACCGTCTTTAAAGTCGGACGGGTCGGGCCCGAACCCGCCTGGCTTTAAAGACCTGCTACTGGCAGCAGGCACGTGTGAGGTACAAATGCCGATCTGGATCTTTAGATTAGATCATGAGATCAAGGATGGTCCAATCTTAGAATTATTTCTATAATGCAATTGCAGATCTCTGTTTATAAACCAGACCGATTTCGGCTTAAGCACCAATTGTGGAATACTACTTTTACAGCCCTCAAAAATTCCGAAATCGTACGGGCTTTTTTTTCCGAACCTTAGTTTCGGTTTAGCTTCGTACTTGATAATAAAATTTCATGAAACCATTTTTTAATTAGACAACAGAAAGTGGTTTCTTAATTAAAATCTCGGTTATTTTTTTTTTTTTTAAAAAAAATGGGTTCGCTTCGATTTTTATGATTATATAAAATCATTTTTTCTGAACATTATTAGAAAATTCTTACCGTGCAAGCGCGAAATAACGCCCACCTGCACGTTATTTCGAGTGCGCGCATGTGCGTTATTTCGAAATAAAGGTTGAATTCGTCACCACTAATTATAATAAATAGTATTTGTTTATAATAAGAATTGAAAAGTGTTCCAGAACGGATCTATGTCAAAATCCGAAATTGAAATTTAATTGTCACGTCGCGTGATGTCGGAGTTCCACTATTTAAACTCCACTTATGATTAGTACTGTAATAACGATTATTAATATAAGCGGGTTTGAATAGTTGAACTCCGACATCACACGACGCGATAATTAAATTTCAGGATTTTTGACATAGGCCCTTCCAGAACAGGGTTTGGAATTAAGCGACGTATTTTTTGGCATTAACAAAATTTGTTCTTCAGATCTAGACGATTACAATGGTAGTAAAATCATTAAAGTGGTCAGTAGTTCACCCGCAATGGCCCTTCAACGTGTCAACGACTATATAAAATCTCTATGTAAAATGTATTGTTTATATAGTAATTTTATTGAGAGCCATTGCGGGCAAACTATTGTGCCGTTTTTTATGATTTTACTATCATTAGAATCGTAGAACAAGTTTTATTAAATTCAAAAAATAAGGTTACTTAATACCAAACCCATTATGGAACATTTTTTATTTTATTTATCTATTTTTATTATTTATTTATAGAGGTGTGCGTTAATTCGGGACGCTCATGGGCGCTAATTTGAAGCTACATATATTATTTTAGGAGTATATTTTCAAATTAACGCCCCTGAGCGTTATTTCACGCTTTTACGGTAATAAATTTTGAGTAATTTTAAATTATTTTTTATGTCAAAAAATGACCAAACCTCTATCCAAAGCACAACATTGCGCTAGAGTATTTACAAAATGAGAATACATAGTTAAAGCTATAATATTTTAAACGCGGTTATTTAAGCCTTTTTCTCATTTAAATTTGTAATTCGCACGTATCCCAAAAGTTCTGTAGTGCTTTTCAAGATTAATTAACTGAAATTCTTTTAAAGGTATTTTGATTGTCTTTTGCTGTAATTATTAATTAATTGATTATCTTTATCAATAAATTCTGTTTACCATTATTATCGTTATAATCAAAACTCAGATTAATCATTCACGATAAACAAACAAAAATAGATACACAAATCTGTTGTGGGCGATACGTACTAACAAAAAAACAATCTCTATAAAAATATAGTTAACTTTCTCCAAGTGCAACTCGTCAAAAATTTTGCATTTATAATTAAAGAATTAAGAGAGTAAATACGTATAACTATGAGCCATCCAATGATCCAATTTTAGTAGACTTCTTTTTATTTTATGGAACTTTACAAAAAATAAAAAAATTTAGGATAAAATATAGTACATTTTAAATCAGTTGATTATTTATTAATATGTCAACTATACTATATTTTATCCCAAGCATATTCAAACTGAATTATTAGATGGTTAGTAAATTTAATTCATAAATTCTACTTAGTCTTGAAACTTTGGGATGGATCGTGCACTTGGTTACATTTTATCTTTTAAACATTTTTTGAATATTGAGAAAAGTTCTTAGGATTTGTGCTTTAGTATTGTTATATGCACTGTTAAGGGAGTATTACATTCAATGTTATCTAGAAGTCATTATAACTCCAGAGTAGTGTTTGGACTCGAATCAACTCGTAGCTTAAAAACATAGTCTTAACTCGAATTAACTTAAGACTATGTTTTTTAAGCTACGAGATGACTCGAGTCCAAACACTACGCCAGAGCTACTACTAATACTTCTAATACTACTTTAGATTAAAAAATATAAGTTATTTTTTACTAATTTGATCATATTTATGCAGATTTCTAAGACTAATATAATAATAAATAACACTAAAAATTCCACATATAAAAAACTGCTTATAAAAACTTCAGGTTTTATTATTTTAAGGTCACACATCACTTATTTAAAGATGCTCAAATACATATGATAGTAACGAATGACGAACGATAATAATGTTCACAAGTCGAATGAAGGCAAATCGGGCTCCAACCGGCATAACGTAATCCCTTATTTGAAACAGATATTTAGCAGAAATAGGAGACCTTTAGGATACTAATCGGGTTCATATAGGCGTTCAAAACATATCGGGATGCCGATAGCTCTATAGGTAAATCGATAAAGCTATTAGGCAAGCTTTATCGATTTACCAATTGA